CAGAGAAGGATCGTTCCTGTTGTTGTCCCCAGAACTGCTCCAGGTTAATTAAAAATCAGGGAAGGAATCCTAAGAAATGTCGATCAGGATCCACGTTCCCCCATGGAATGGAGTCCTGAGGGTGATGGAATTCACTTATTTTAGGGTTGTAGCTGCAGCTACAGGATGAGCAGTGGTGGATGATCTTTAAGGTTCCTTCCACCCCAAACCATTCCATGATATGAATCCATTCCATGATGTGACGTAGCAGACCCCTCCTATCCCAATTTTTGCAGCTCTGAAGGTGGAACAACCAGTACCTGTCCTTGCAGGATTTTGCTTTAAAATGCTGCTTGACACGTGTGCAAACATCTCTTCAGCCTTCCCGAGGTATGGGAATTCCAGGAACTGCTGCTTTCCATGGATTTTTCCTTTGCTTGGTGTTTTCAGGACTCGCACTGCCAAACCCTGGGTGCTGGAGCTCATCCCTCCTGCCCCTGGAACCATCATCTCCGTCCTCATCTCTCTCCCTTTCCCACCTCAGATGTCTCCACACAGGCAGAAATTGTCTCCTTGGGGAAGATAATTCTTCAGGGATTCTCTCCTTGGTCAAGTCAGGCCTGAAAATACATTTTTTTCTGCATTACTCAGCTGAAGATATTTGACTGAAATAATTTCTTGCTGCATTTGCCCTTTTTGCCCTCACTCACGTCCCCCCTCGTATTTAAATGTCCTGGTTCCACCAGGATCTGCAAAAATCAGAACTGAGTGATTTTATAACCACAGATTTGGGGTTATTTTCATCTTCATTTGCTTTCTTGTGCTGTCTGGTGGGTTTTCATGGGATCACAGCACGGTTTGGGTCGAAAGGGACCTTAAAGCCCATCCAGTTCCATCCCCAACACCTTCCACTATCCCAGCTTGCTCCAGCCTGGCCTTGGACACTGCCATGGATCCAGGGGCAGCCACAGCTTCTCTGGGCAACCCATGCCAGTCTTTCACCACCCTCATCATAAAACATTCCTTAAATCCTGTCTTAAAACCTCCCCTCATTTAGTTTTTATCCAGATTTTTAGTGTAAGTTCTTCCTGCTTAACCTTTTTGACTTTCCTATTAGAGCAGCACTTCTGGGGGCTGTCAAAGTGCCTCCCAAATCCCCCAAAAGAGAGGGAGATAAGGCACAAAATGTATATATACCCTTTTTTTTTGTTCCCTCTGGGTAAATCACACCCAGCTCTGAGTTCTTGCCTTGTGCTTCTCTTTCTGTCTCCGCTGCTCAGAGCAGCCCCCAGCTCCCTAACGAAGGAATAATTAAAGTGAGATCCTTTATTCCTCTCATCTGAAGGTCCTTCTCTGAAGAAGAGATCAAGTCACTCCCAGGGAAAATCAGAATTTCATTTCGAATTCACCTGGCCACCTTTTGAAAAAGGTTTTTTTGAGTGCAGCAGGCCTTGGGTTACAGGTGAACATTAACATTTAAATGGAGGAGGGTATTAACAGCCCTCAGAGGAGCTGATTGCCTTTCCTGAGAGGTTTTTTTTTTCCCCTAAGTGAGAAAACTTCTTAATTTTTATTCTCTTTCTCCAAGTATAGAGTTCAAGAGACCATTTTTATTATATATATTTATATATATATATATATGTGCTCAAAATTCATCCTTCCAAAATGGGCTCTTTGTTGGCAACTTGATATTTTCTTTTAAAAGGGCTGTTTAAAAACCAAACTGGTTTGTGGCTCAGTTGGCTTTTATTCAGCTTCGGTGTGGGATGTTTTTTTTCCTGCCCCTGGGAAGCATTTCCACCAGGGATATTCACCTTTCCCTGTGTGCTCTGAGCACAGAGCTGTTCTTCGTGCCAGGGTGGATCTTCCTGGGCCAATTCCAGGAGGAAAAGTGCATTTTGAGCTTTAAGTTAGGTTTGTCCTGAAAAAAATGCCCAAAAAATTCAAGGCACCTTTGAACCCAATCCCACCGTCAGTGGAACAGATCACAGATGTCAAGGTCGGGATGTGAAGGATGGATTTTATTATTAAAAAATAACAAATCTTGGTCATCCAAGCCATCAAAACTAGTTGGCCATCCTGTATGAGCAGCATATTTATGACTTTGGATATTTTAGGCAGCCTTTAACTCCCCCAAAATAGGGCCATCGACGCTAAAGCTGAGCTTAAGTGGAGAGTTTGACCAGGGATTTAAGATCCTGAAGAGCTAAAGGTTTTGGAGCCAGATTAATGCTTCCTTACCCTTGTGAAACAGCACTTTATTTCCATAGGAAATGAGGAGAGATGCTCCAGAAGGACCTGCCCCAGGTTTAGGGTATAAAACCTCTCCTATCAGATCAACTCAACAAGTCCCATCGATGCTTTTCGGCAAAATATAAATAAAATTATAACTGAGTGAATAAACATGCAAACACAAAGATTTCCCTGGTGAGTTCCCAGGTCAGTTTGTTCCCATCAGCTGCATTTCTGACTTCTTAGAGTCCTTGAAATGGTTTAGGTTGGAAAAGACCTTAAAACCTATCCATTCCCAGCCCTGCTACGGGCAGGGAGACCTTCCACTATCCCAGCTTGCTCCAAGCCCTGTCCAACCTCAGACATTTCAAACTCAGGTGAATACATTTGTAAATTCAGCTTTAATCTCTTCTCTTCTCACCCCAAATATCCCATTTTGGAGCCCTGGAAGCTCTTAGTGCCCAGGCTGGTGACCTGTGTAGGGTAAAATCAGCTTCCACGCGCCCACATTAAAGCCAAAAGAAAGCTTGGGAAGCTAAATTTCCTCTTTGGTTAGGTGTGCTAATCCCATATTATTATTTATTAACCTGTTTGTCAGATGATGGAAGGAGCTCCTGATGAATATTAATTCTCCTCCCTGGTTTTAAAAGCTCACCTTTATAAAAAACAACCAAAGGATTTCGCTGAGCAGATCCCCCTCACCCGGTGTCCATTTATTCCCCCCCCATCCCATCCTTGCTTCCCACAACCTCCCCTTGCTAATCAAAGGAGCCTAAATTAAAAAAAATCACAGAGCAAGAGGCTCATCCCACCCCCTTTCTTTCATATTTCATTATTTGATAACATCAAAAAATGAGTCCATCGGAGCTGCTTGGGCGAAGGCAAACAGGAGTGGGCCTGATCAATATTTATTAATACTTTCAAAGACAAGGGAGACAAAGTCGAGCAGACTTGGTAATGGAGTGAATAATTACTCATGCAAATAGGGTTTGGCCCCAGGCAGTGCCAAGCCAAGGCAGCAGGTTTTTAATTGCACCCAATTAAAAATGCAGCACCTTTCGCTCTCGCACTGTCTTTCTCTCTCCCGCTGTCTCGGTTTTATTTTAGAGGAAGTTTTTAATTAAAAAATAATCTGATCTCGGGAAGAGTGGCAGGTGAATCCTGTGGTTGTTAGGGGCAGAATTGTTCTTCAGTTGGCTGAGATTTGGGAGAGGTGAGAAGGAAGGAAGGTGGAAGGATGTGGGGGAAAGACAGGCCTGTGTCACTGAGTTCATCCAGTGATCCCTTTGTGCTTCAGACAGAGCAGGTTTAGTCCTTCCTCTTTATTTTAAGGTGCTCTGTGACCTTGGGAAGGTGAAGTCCTGTGCTTTGGAGCAAAAAAGACTTGCCATCCCCATCCCTGGAAATGTCCAAGGCCAGCTTAGAGCAACCTGGGATAGTGGAAGGTGTCGGGGTTGGAACTGGCTGAGCCGTGAGGTCCCTTCCAACCCAAACCTTCTGGGATGGTGTCAACTGTCCCATGTGATGGGGTGGCACAGAATGTTTTGGGGTTCCCTGTCATGCACATGGGAACTGAGATCAGCAGCTGGCACAGGGTGACATTCCAAACCTGAGGAGTTTGTAGGGCTACAGGACTCTCCTAAATCCCTTCTGCAAAGAGCAGCTGGCACAGGGATGTGCAGGGGCCCATCCTTACCTCCCCCCCTGCCTCTGGAGCTGCACAAACCCCCTCTTTTATCAGGCTAAACCAGGGGGATTGGGGGATCTCTGTTACCCAGCTGTTCTCCAGTGGTTTGTCTGCTTTCCCTTTCTTTTTCCTAAGGGAGACACTCCCACTGAGACAGTTCCATACCATGATATGATATCTATATATCTGTACACACCTTTATCTATATTCTGGTTTCTCCATGGGGGATCCCAGTGGTATCTCAGCTGCTGGTGCCTTCTGGAAGAGGGGAGCCCTCAGTTCCTCACAGTTTGTGTTTTAGCTCAGGATGGAAGAGTGTGAGGAGCCAACTTGGGAGGTTTGTCCCCCCTGTGCCTGTAGGTGCTCACTTGGCATCTCCTGATGTTCAGCTGGGAGAGCTGGGGGGGTTCCCCTGGAGAAGAGAAGGCTCCAGAGAGAACTGAGAGCCCCTTGCAGGGCCTAAAGGGGCTCCAGGAGAGCTGGAGAGGGACTGGAGACAAGGCAGGAAGGGACAGGACACAGGGAATGGCTTCCCAGTGCCAGAGGGTTAGATGGGATATTGGGAAGGAATTTCTGTCTGGGAGGGTGGGGAAGGGCTGGAATGGATTTCCCAGAGAAGCTGTGGCTGCCCCTGGATCCCTGGAAGTGTCCAAGGCCAGGTTGGAGCAACCTGGGAGAGTGGAAGGTGTTGGGGTTGGAACTGATTGATCTTTAAGGTCCCTTCCAACCCAAACCATTCTGGGATTCTATGATGGTGTTCCATAGGAAGATGTTTCCATCAGAAACCTGATGTTTCTCTGCTGAATAAAAGCAAGAGTTGATGCTATTTTTAGGAAGGAATGTTTTCCATGGAGAGGGATCAGCCATTGGAATGGGTTGCCCAGGGAAGGGGTGGAGTCACCATCCCTGGAGGTGTTTGGGATGAGACTGGATGTGGCATCAGTGCCACAGGCTGGGAACCACAGCGAGGTTGGAACAACACTTGGACTGGATGATCTCTGAGGGCTTTTCCCACCCGGCCGATTCCGCGCTCCTGCGATTCCGCAGGAATAAAGGTCTGGAGCATTTACCGAGGTGGTTTTCTCCTTCTCTTGCTTTGCAGGCAGTACTATGAGATGCTCTACAACACGGCAGACGAGCTGCTGAACCTGGTGGTGGATCAGGGGGTGAAGTACACGGAGCTGGAATACATCTACGCCCTCAACCTGCTGCACCGCAGCCAGACGGGCGTGGGCGACCAGACCACGCAGAACATGAGGCTGCAGCGGCTCAAGGAGATCATCTGTGAGCAGGCTGCCATCAAACAGGCCACCAAGGACAAGAAGATCACCACGGTGTGACCCACCCTTCCCCTCACACCCATGGGAGAGCCGGGACTGGCAGGTGGCAGGTCCAGGCCTCTGTCTGTGTACTGGTGGGGAGGGAAATGCCACCTGGGATTTGGGGTTGGGGTTGTTTTTTGGGGGGGGTTCTGATGTGTATTCATCATCATGCTTCTTCACGTGTTCTCCCACGGTAGGACCAGGAATCCTGGTGGAGTTTGGGGTGGGGTAGTTGGCTTTGCTCTGCTCCTGCTGCTTCGCTTTGGGGAGTGTAAAACAAGCTGCTGTCTCTGGTGGGGTGGGCAAAGAGAAGATCTCACGCTGGGTCGGGTCAGGGAGTTCAGACCACGCTAAATAAACAGCACCATGACAGTCAAGCACAGTCCTGTGGGGGTCTTGGTGGTTTTGAGCCCTGTTTTGGGGCCTGCTCAGCTCTGCAGCGAGTTCTCCACGAGAGTTTTCTCCACATGAAAAGTGGAGAAGCTCCACATGAAGTTTTCTGCTGTTCCCACTGCAAAGAGACCTCGTTGTTTGCTCCTTCAGCTGACACATCCTTCAGCCAGTTCTCAGTGTGGGAGGGAACACGGGACCATTTGTTTCCCACTTGTACTTTTTCATTATCCTGGAGCCATCTGGCACCGGGCGACGGCGGCTGCAGGAGAGAATTGCCAACATAAGATAATAACAGAGCTTAATTCTCTTGTTCCCAGTGTATCTTTGGAGCCTGCCCAGCTCCAAAGGCGTTTTGTCGTTGTCATTTGATGTTCTGGAAGGACACAAGGGGTTATGTGCCTCAGCACTGATGATCAGCAAGGGCAGGAAGGCAGATCCAAGCTCTGTGGGCTGAGGGACACTCAGGTCACCATTCCTGCCCTGTCTTGACCATAGTCTTCAAAAATAAGGTCACACTCCACTTGTATTTGGCAAATAAATTGTTGACCCAGCTGGGTTTCACTTGCTGAGAAAGGTTCTCCCTGAGCTGTGTAACTTGGGTGTCCTGAAACTGCAAAATTAAAGGATGTTTAAAGACTCTTCAAAGGCTCTTCTGTTCTGTCTGGGGTTTTTTTTGTAACAACTGTGGGTTCATGGTGATTAAAAGGTTCCTTTCCAGGTCCGAATTCACGATGTTCTCCAAGGTTCCATCAACGTGGAAATGATCCAAATCATTCAGTCCAGTCCTCAAGAAGCTTCTCAACATCCATGAATTCAGGCTGAGCTCCTGTGGCCTCATGTCAGATTTTTTATTCCTGAATTCAGACTGAGCTCCTGTGGCCTAATTCAAACTGGGTTTTATTCCTCAATTCAGACTGAGTTGCTGTGGCCTAATGTTGGACTGGGTTTTATTCCTGAATTCACACTGGGTTTTATTCCTGAATTCAGACTGAGCTGCTGTGGCCTAATGTTGGACTGGGTTTTACTCCTAAATTCAGACTGGGTTTTACTCCTGAATTCAGACTGAGCTGCAGTGGCCTAATTCAGACTGAGTTTTATTCCTGAATTCAGACTGGGTTTTATTCCTGAATTCAGACTGAGCTGCTGCTGTGGCCTCATGTCAGACTGGGTTTTATTCCTGAGTTCAGACTGAGCTTCTGTGGCCTAATTCAGACTGGGTTTTATTCCTGAATTCAGACTGAGCTGCTGTGGCCTCGTGTCAGACTGGTTTTTATTCCTAAATTCAGACTGGGTTTTACTCCTGAATACAGACTGAGCTGCTGTAGCCTAATTCAAACTGGGTTTTATTCCTGAATTCAAACTGGGTTTTATTCCTGAATTCAGACTGAGCTGCTGTGGCCTCATGTCAGACTGGGTTTTATTCCTAAATTCAGACTGGGTTTTACTCCTGAATTCAGACTGAGCTGCTGTGGCCTAATTCAAACTGGGTTTTATTTATTTTATGAGGGGAAAATTCCCTCACAAAGGGTCTGGGCTGTGTGTCGGTGTTTGTTTCAAACCTAACAGGAGAGGGAGTGGGGGTGGGAGGGAACAGTTTGGGAACATTCCTGTTCCTGAAGCTGTTGCTGTGGGCAGAGCCAAGCTGTTCCTGTTCATAGTAAACAACTCCTCAGACACCCTGCTGCTGATCCGCTCCCAGTGTCCACACACCCCCCTAAACATCCATCTGGAGCCACTCTTGGGGGCCTTCTTGAAGAAGAAGGTGGTGCTGACACACCAGAGGTTCTGAGGAGGTGTTTGGAAAGTCCCCTGAGAGCACAATGTGTCCCCCAGGTGTCTGTGTGATCCTGTTCTCTCCACACAGCAGCCACCACCCTTTTTGGGTCTCATGGATGTCCCTCATGTCCCTCATGGTCTTGGGCACATTTGGCAGGCTCTGGCTGTCCTGGATTTATCAGTTCTTATGGATGGAACAGAAGCACAAGTGTCCTGAGAGCACCAACCCTTGGGAAACTTTCTGCCACTGCCCTGCCAGCATTTGCTTTTTCTTTCCTCAGCACTTTGTTGCCCGGGAACTATTTCCCCATCCCAACCTGTGGAACTGGGTCACACAGATGGGGGATTTAGAACACATTCCCAGTGGAGGATGGTTTTCCAGAGGGAACAAACCACATGAAGTTGTTGCAAACTCTGCACTGACCCAAGAACCCCCTTTGTCTTGGATCTGAGCTGTGCAGAGCACGACACACTCCACTTCTGTCCTGAAGGGACCCAATCCTCAGTGTGGGACCTTCCTAAAAAACCACAGAGAACATTTCTGGTTCTACCTCCAGCCCTGGGAACAACAGCAAGAGGATGTGGAGCTGCTGGAGAGAGTCCAGAGGAGGCCCTGGAGCTGCTCCCAGGGCTGGATCCCTCTGCTCTGGAACCAGTCTGGGAGAGCTGGGAATGTTCACCTGGAGAAGAGAAGGCTCCAGAGAGAGCTGAGAGCCCCTGGCAGGGCCTAAAGGGGCTCCAGGAGAGCTGGAGAGGGACTGGGGACAAGGCAGGGAGGGACAGGACACAGGGAATGGCTTCCCACTGCCAGAGGGCAGGGATGGATGGGATATTGGGAAGGAATTGCTGTCTGGGAGGGTGGGGAGGGGCTGGAATGGATTTCCCAGAGAAGCTGTGGCTGCTCCTGGATCCCTGGGAGTGTCCAAGGCCAGGTTGGACGGGGCTTGGAGCAACCTGGGATGGTGGAAGGTGTCCCTGCCCATGGCAGGGGAGTTGGAACAAGATGGTCTTGAAGGTCCCTTCCAACCCAAACCATTCCATGATTCCATGATTCTGTTCCCTGCACGAGTTCTTGCCTAGGAGTTCTTTTGCTGTCCTGACATGACCCTGCAGGACACCCTGGAGATTTTGGGTTGTAAATCCACTTGAAACACTTGTCGCTGTGCCAAGGCTCAGAGAGCAGTCATGACATGGAAGTGCTCCTTTGGTGCTTCCAGAGGCAAGGAAACACTTCTCCACCCCACAAACTGGAATATTTTCATGGGGAGCTGTAAAAGTTCATGAGGGTTTCACAATTTCCCCTTTACAGCCTCATAAGTTTTATGGGGTTTTATCCCGTGGTTTTGAAGCCTCCAGAAGTGGAAGGTGAAGCAAATTGCTGTGATTCCTTTCATGACTGAGTGTCAGTCACCAGCTCATCCTCTCCTGGGGGTCTCCTCCCTCCATATCCTCTGGATTAAGGATGATATAAACCTGCCTGACTGGCATGGATAGATAGAATGGATAGGGATGGATGGATGGATGGAGGGAGGGATGGATGGATGGAGAAGCCCTCCAGGGATATCATGGTGTGGATCCCCCCAGCCTCATCCTCTGCCCTCCATTCAGAGACAGCTCCACCTGGAACAGTTTCCTGAGCCTCTTTCTGCCTTTTGTTGGCTGTGTTTTGTTTTATTCACGTGAGTCATAATTGCAAATCCCATTTGGAATGTGGTGATGGCAGTAAAGGGGAGGGCACTCAGACAGGGAGAGCTGCCAAGAGGAAATTAGCATTGCAGGAATGTCAATTCTACAGCTCACAGACAAGCTGGGAGCTTTTTTGGGGGGAGGAAAAGGGTCATTTGATGGAGCTGAGACTTGGAGAAGTCACCCAAATGTCGATTATGTTGCTCATAGACAAGCAGGGAGATTTTGGGGGTGAAAAGAGAATCATTTTACTCAGCTGAGGTGTGGAAAAGTCACTCAAATGGGGGTTAATTCCCGTTGGGGCACACAAGCCCTGTCCATCCCTGCAGACCCTGCAGGCCACAAAGCTGCCCGTGCTCGGATCTCAGGAATTTATTACCCAAGGATTCATCCCACCATAGTTGAAATTCCCACAGGAATTCTATCCCAGTAGCAACTGGAGCTGTGTGTGGGCAGAGCAGGGGAGGTTCTGCCCTGAGGGGGTTTGTGCTCCAACATCCATGAGGGATGAGAAACTCCAAAGGAAGATGCAGGGAAGTAATTTTCCCTTCTTTCCTTTGCTGATTGGATCTAACAAGTGAGCCAGGAGCAGGGGGGGGGGACAAAAATAAAAAAATGAAGTGGCAGCAGCCAGCATGTAATCATTAAATTTGCTCTTGGATGACCCGTGTGAAAACCATCAGCAGCGATTTATTGGGAAGTTTGTTGCACCGCTGTTCATTATTTACTCTGTTAAGCTCGGGCACGGTGGGCAATCAGGGGAGAAAATTGGACTGTTAGGGCCTTGGACTTCGGTGTTTGTCATTTCCTCTGTTGAGCTGCAGCGTGAAATGTGTGTTTTTTGCACAGACAAATCCCCCCCTCGGGCTGCTGCAGCTCCTCTGAGGGCACCATGGGAGAGGTGAAAACGGGGATAGGGGGAAGGAGGGAAAAGCACGAAGCAGCCTGGATGCTGCCCCTGGTGTTGAGCGTTTCCAAAGGCCTGTGGTGGCTGAAATTAGTGTCGTGGTTGTTTTTTCATGCCTCTGTCCCCCAGCTGAGGCAGAGCTGCTGCTCTTGCTCCTGACTAAGTCCCCTCCATCGCTGGGCTCTGACAAGCGCGGCAAGGCCAGGCCTAAGTTGAGTAGTACAGGGACTAAAGGGGGAGACCTGGGCCTAAGAAGGTCTGGGCACAGGCCTGGGGCAGTGCCCGTCCCTGTGCTGGGCACTGGGGAGGCCTCCCCTGGAATCCTGGGGGCAGTTCTGGGCCCTTCCAGAGGGGCTGGAGC